GCACCTTTACTCGGAAGGAACATGATTAATGGGTGCTCATAGGCCATAATGCATCATTGATGGACATAAAGATAACAATTTGCACGTCAACTCAACTCACATCATATCATGCTTAATATAGAAATATATCTATATATAAACAACATAAGAGTGACAAAGCACATCACATCGGTGTCCAATCTTATAATGTGGCTGCCCTCCATGTCTTGGCAGAATACCTCCATGCCCCATCACATTATTCTCATCATGTTCTACATTTGCATTTTCGATTGTTGAATTCCTAACTTATATTGGATCCTACTTTTAAAATTTTTTAAGTTGAAGTCTCATTAGTGTTTGATCTTTTATTAGCACTAAAATGACTTAATTTAATTAATAGTTGATATTTTTTTCTATTATTTTTCGATTTTTTTATTCATCTACTATTTTTTTTTTTATTTCAATTTAGTATACTTCATTAACTTTCCAATAAAATTAATTTTGAGATAAAATTGAGTTTGTAAGTATGATAAGTTTCTTTTAATTGTATAAGGAACTAGAACTTTTGTCACATGTTGTTTTAATTTTCTCTTTTTCCAATTTTCTTTTGTGACATAAATCACAATAATTGTTATATTTTAATAATTTATATAATTTATTGTGAACTACTTTATTAATTAGGACTAAATTTTCAAAGATTTTTTTATTTCTCGTCAAGTTTGTTTCTTTTGAGTTAGTTATTCAATTTCATCACAAATTTTAATTAACATATCTTTATAAAAATTTTCATGAGTAATCATATTTTATTAGAATTATAACATTATTTTTCCAAAGCTTAAAAAACTATTTAATTTTAATTTTAATTTAATTTTTTTTATCTTTTTTTGTTAAAACTAACAAAAGTTTCCGTATGATAAATTATTTTATAAAATTTTATAAAATTTATAAACCATCTAAAAAATTAAGTTTTCATACTAAGATAAACTAATTAATAATTAAATCATTCTAAAATATATAAAGTGTGCGGCTTTTTAAGGGTAAAAAATTGTTGTGGCCGCTCGGATTCGAGCCCAAGTCTCTACGGCCCCAACGCAAAGCTACAAGTCGAGTGCCATAAGAATATCTCATTTTACTAGTAATTTTTATTATTATTTATCAAAAATAATTATTTAAATAATTCAGTTGTTATTTTTTTTTTTAAATAAGAGATCTTGAATTCGAATCGTATAGCATGTAAGTGGAATAAAATAAGAGATATAAGATGATTATTTTTTATTGTATAATTAAGATAAAAAAAAAAAAGTGAACAAAATATGGATGAGTTTAATAAAATGGATGTGCTTGCATAAGAATCGAAATTATTGGACAACTTGCAAGTGGTTGGAGTAGATAACCTAAATTATATATTTTATTATTATTATTTAAACAAATTACAACAACAACGGAAAAATCTACATAGACCCTAAAATGGGATGTGAAGTCGAAGACAACGACATGGTATGTACTAATAATATAAGCAATTCACTAATTATTAATCTCATTTTAATAAAAAAAATTATAAATTTGAGTTGAAAGTAAGATACAAAAATAAGGGTTAAAAGTTAAAACCTTAATTCAGTCCCTTTACTTTGGTAAAAAGTATTTTTTAGTTCCTTTAAAAAGTTCATATTTAGTATTTAAAGCTTGAAATCCAATCTATTTTTAATTTCTCTATTAAATTTTTATGTTAAATAATAAAAATTTCAAAGTAAAAATACAAAAAAAAAGACTTTTTTTTTTCTAAAGTAAAGGAATAAAAAAGGACTATTGAGAGGTTGTTTTTAACTTTTGATGGTTCCTCTACTTTAAAATTTTTATAATTTAATGTGTTATATATGCAAAAACTTAACAAAAAACCTAAAAAAGATTTAGATTTTCAACTTTAGAAACCAAAAAAAAAATTTTTTAAATAAAGGGATTAAAAAGAGTTTTATACCAACTAGAGGGCCAAATGGGATTTGACCGAGATGGTTAACTTAGATTTCATCCTATCGTCACTCCGACAAAATTGGATTGAAAGATTATATCATCTCACACAAAATATATGGGCGATGATTAGCAGCAATGGAACGAGTTCAGGGTCTGATTTTTCGCGAAAGTAAAGTTTAGGAGGATATGAAAGAGGCAAAGAGGCAGAGGAAGGGGAAAAAAAGGGGGGAAAGGGCCGCACGGGGGGGCACTCTAGCAGAGACCAACCCTTAAAGATTCTCGCTGTCGGCTTCCCACCTCCGTAACCATTGTCCCACCCACATCATCTCCCTCTCATCAATGCACTCTTTCACTTTTCCATTTTTCTTCTTCTTCCCTTTTTTTTTTATAATGAAGATCTTACAATATCAACTTGACATCATGGATATAAAATTATGCGTTTTACTAAATTAATGAAATTAATAAAAAAAGACATCACATCATCTTATATAATTTTATTGTAAAAAAAATTAAATAAATAATTTACTTTATCAACTACCTAAATAATTTAATAGTTTTTTTTTTTTACTGAAAGTAAAAAGTTCTGAATTCAAGTCGCATAACATATAGGTGAAATGAGATAGAGAATATGAGATGATTACTTCTCATTGTGCAATCAAAATAATAAAAAAAATTTCCTTCTATATTGTATTAAAGTTTTGAAACACGTTATAATTAAGCTAGCTCTTTATATTTGTCCTTATTTGAGATTCATCCGAACATATAACTTATTGGATTGTTTATTCAATGTATCATTGACTACTAAGTGCTAACTAAACTTTTGTTGCACATGTTATGCTCTCTTCTTTGTCAAATATCAAATCTTCTCAATTTGCCATATGTATTGGTCAAAGTTGGGTTAGTGGGTGCGAGATTTGCCAATGCTTTTCTTTTGGGTATGAGTGTATAACTAAGGAAAACTTATTTACAAGTAAATTTTTGGTTTAATGGTTAATATTAAAGTGTTTTTCAAGTTAGTTTGTACATACTTTAAAATTAATTTTTAATCATTTACATTCGAATTAAAAAAATTCATAAAAAATTATTCTTTTGTTGACTTCTCTCTAAATAATCAAACTTTAATCAATAAGATAGAAAATGAATTTTCTTACTAACAAAACTACCAAGCTTAAAATAAGATTTTGGCTAAATTAATTGACCAAAATTAGCACTTTCCCTCATAAGTTAATATTTTAGTATATTCATTCTTGAAGGGATTTCGAAATTAGACTAGAAACGCTTTTAGGCAGGGTCAGGAAGTAAATACATTGTTCCTAGTTTTGTCTGAATTGACAAATCATTTAGAGTATCATAGAAGTATTGAAGAAACATTCTGACTAGTTTTCTCCACATTACATGTTTTTCTCATACCTCTAATTGTTTTAATTAATGTCTACAGTATGTGTTATTTCAAAAATCAACAGTATTATGATTCTTATAAATTGAAGAATTAAAAGATGAGAAAGGTAGAGAATCTTCTCCATGAAGAAGAAAATATCCATTAGAAGCATTGTGATTTTTGGATATAAACAATTTTAATAAATAATGTCTGCTATTTTTAAATCTGAAACTTAACCTAATATTTATATATGGTGCAATTCACAAGTATTCCTATAATTAAATGGGTAACAAACCCACATAACATGTTATCCCAAAAAAATGGCATCCTCGTGCGACTTATATTTCGTGAAGCTAAGTCTTATGCGGGTGTTATGGTCTCAAAACTCCACAACTTAGGTGAAAGTCGACATATTTTTGAAGATCCACCATTAGAGGGGTAGCAAAGAATGGAAGAAAATCTTCTAGGTATTTAGAACTCAGGCTTCTAGACTTATCTGTGAATGATTGTACTGCCCACCACACCCCCAAAAGAAGAAAAAAAGGCAACCTCTGTAGTCAACGATGATGATTTGTTCTTTGTCCTCAAACAAATGTGCATATTTAGAGGGGGAAAAAAAAAATCAAGAAACAAACTTCTTGGCCCAGGTCATACCCAACATAGAATTCAGGTTCAATTCCCAAATTTTCCATTTGGTAATCAAACCCAGAACTTTTCTTACCTGAATTATAAGAAAGAGAGCACTTGAGATGCCTCCTTTTAGTCCTTTCATTATTGCTAGAAGAAACAAAACTGAAGATAAAAGTAGCCACTTTCTCAACTATATATAAGAAGCTTCATTTAGGAAAAAGAAAAAAAAAAAACCAAGAAAATAAAGGGAAATGGGCAGAATATTATTCGAAGAATTCATCAGAAAAACAACCAAAACCTGAAACAGAGTTCTAAAATTTATTAACTAAAATTGAGCTACAATTACTTATATACTGGGGAGCAGCTGTATTATTTTCAAGGGTCACCGCGGTCACGCCAACACACGAGCATTGCTATGCACCGGCGGAGGATGTAGAATTTGGCCCTCTGCCTCTTCACCAAATGGCTACACTTCTGGCTAAAGGATCTGCAAGGCTCACATGCGTGCTTGATAGTCAGAAATTTAGTGTCCTTTTCGTTGGCAGCCATGAAAATGGTTGAGCTAGTAGACCACTACTGGTAAAGTAATAGAAGAAGCAGTAAATGTGAAAGGAGAGGCAGAGATTTTATGGGATTTGTGGTATTTATAGAGAAATTTAGAGAGAAGACTGTAGGCTCTGCAAATCCACTGGCTGTGTGTCAGGGAAAATGGCACACAGAGCGTATACATCAGATAATAGCTATTGTTAGGTTCACGTGATGGTCCAATAAAATTTGAATTACACGTGAAAAGGGTGTGTTAAAGAAGATTGATATATATCTTTTTTTTTTATTTTTTGGTATTTTTTCTCCTTAGTAAACAATATTTTTTAGAAGAAAATTGAAGCTCTCTGAAAACTAAAATTAGAAACGAACATGTCTGCTATTGCAACTCCAACTCTAAATTCCCAAGAAGCTGATCTTCTATCTTGATCTGTCAAACGCATCAAAGGCGACAGCAACTCCTCTATTGCAGAGGAGTATCAATTATTTGAAACTCCTCAAAAACAGCTGTCATACAGAGATATGGTTTCTTCATCTGAACCTACTGCTATCCTTTGCGATAGTTCCAACAGGGATGAAGCTCTAGAAGAAGACTCAGATATGGAGGACGATGGGACTATACCCACTATCCTCATATCTAGAGAAGAAAAGAAAAGAATCCGCACGCCTTGGCTTAATTCTCTCATAATCAAGGCCTTCGGGACAGATAAAGCTGGATATAATTTTATTTTTCCCAGAATAAAGGCTCAATGGAAGCCAAGAGGAAAAATGGACTGTATTGATTTGGGTTTGGATTTCTTTCTTATCCGTTTCCATGAGAAGGAGGATCTTAACCGTGTTCTCCATGGGGGACCATGGTTTGTTGGTCCTCATTTTCTCACAATTAGAAGGTGGGAACCTTCTTTTGATCCTGCTAA